AACTCGCTTTGGAGACCAGGCTGGCCTCGAACTCACAGAGATCCGCCTGCCTCTGCCTCCCAAGTGCTGGGATTAAAGGCGTGCGCCACCACCGCCCGGCTCCCATTTTTTTTCAAAGGAGAAATAGAACCTAAAACATGAGCAGAATCCAAAATATAACTTGGTTCTTGCCTTCTAGGCCAGTAACTGTTTTTCCCGTATCAGGAAGGCCTCATGCCCCTCCCCAATGGATGCTCTGAGTGATCCTTTTGCCAAGACTAAGCTAACACAGAAAACGACCCTCTCTTCTACCCAGTCTTACTCCTGTCTCTCTACATGATGACAGTGGCATTTCACAGGACCTCCTGAGGGACAAGTCAGAATGGCCCACAGGTGCTGGTGTAGGCCTGCCTAGACTAGCAGGTGTATGCTTATGAATCTGCCTCACCTGGGATGCCTGGGTACAGCTCACCCCGATACCCTCTAGGTATCACACGTGTGCTGGACTTGAGAAAAACAGCATCTACTCTCTCTACCTTCATAGCTTGGCATCTGAGCAGGTACCTATTGTGGTTCAGGCCCTGATTTGTAAACTTATGTAGGAAGCTCCCTACTCTCACCACAAGGTCCCTTGTCATAGATGAGGACAGTCAGGCTTAAGCAGGATACAGGACTCGCCATAGGCAGAGGCAGTAGTGGAAAGCTGGAATTTCAACTCTGGTCTGTGTTGTTCTGGAGTGTCTCGTCTACCCAAACTCATTACCATTCAAGCATGTAGTAGCTCCTGCCACTTCACTTCTGGCTTTCTAATCCTGGCCAAGTTTCTTTCCCTGTTTAAATTCCAGATCATTTGCAAGCTAAGGAAAGTGGAAGTATATGTCTGCAGGGCTCTCATGAGACATAAAGCAGATGATGCATGCAGCAGGAACACAGTGAGTGCTCTCCGCTAGGCTGACTATCATTATGATCGGACAAGATCCTTGATGGCTGGATGGGTGTCTGATGAGCCTTGCCACACCCCAAGTCCTTGGCATCCTCAACATCAGGGTCTTAGGAATGAAGGGACAATCGTTAAGAGTCATTAGCATTAGCCCAGGCCTGTTCCTGACCTCTGGCCCATGGCCTCATAGGGTGGAGACTATCAAGTCCCTGAGCTCCCAAGGGCAGTTCTATTCTAACTCACCAGCACCATTCATGTTTACATGCAGTCCAAGAGCCTCCCAGCCCTTATAGGGTCAGCATTCATAAAGCTGCCCTCACATCCTTCTAAAGGGCCCTTGGAAGGGAGCTGGGGGTATAGCTCAGTTGGTAGAGCGCTTGTCTAGCATGCATCCATTACCAGCCTGGCTACGCAAACACAGCAGCAGGCAAGGCTGATCGACTCCTCCCATCTTACATGGAGAGGGAAACTGAGGCCCAGGAAGGTGTGGAGTAGAATGGCCAAGGTTACCGAGTTTAGGATGAATCTCCAACGGCCAGAAATGAGCTTTTAAAATTAGCTCTTTATTAATTCCTCATGTCGTGAAATCTTTCAGCAAACAGGCAGGTATGTAGTCACAAATCAACGAACACACAAAGGCACTGCTAATTATTACTGACTGTGGGATGCTCCGGGGGAGACTGGGCTCAGTCTGCTCTGCTGATTGATGGCCCCATCCCCCATATTACCAAGCTGGCTAATTGCAGGAAGTCACATCATTCAGAAGCTGGGGCAAGGAAGGAGTGGCATCTCCCCCTGGATCCTGGAGCTCCTGGGAATGAGTCAGGCCATTGAGAACAAAGACTGCTTTGTAATCACCTCCAGCAGCCCCTGTCCAGCACCACCAGGCCCCAGGAAAGCCTCTCCAGGTATATAATGAGGTTGAGCAGGAGTGGGAATTCATGGAGTCTCACCAGGACAGCGTGCTTACAATCTGTTTTAGCTTAGAGCGCCAGGTAGGCTGGACTCAACGGTGAGAGGATTCTGATGATCTGATCACCAAGCCCCACAAAGTTCAAAGACAGGAAGTCATTTACATTCTAGATGGGAGGCAGCAGCCTAGCTTCCAGTGGGTCCCTGGCTGGGGGCAGTGAGCACATGGACAGACAAATGCTACCTTCCCCAGCCCTCCTGGAACCTCAATTTTCTTTTCTGAGTAGCAGTGATTAGTCAGACAACAGGGGGCAACAGGGGAACAGAAGAGGGAGAGAACGACCAGATCCATGACAATGCACATCACCAGACCATGATGACTCTCAGCCAGCCCCCAATTAGGTGCACCAATGTGCTCATGAAGTCTGCATAGTAAACAATCTCAGAAATCAGTGGCTTCAGGGCTGGGGACATAGTTCAGTTGGTAGAGTGCTTGCCTAGCATGCATGAAACCCTGAGTTTAATCCCCAGCACTACATCCATGGTGATATGTACCTGTAGTTCTAGCACTAAGTGGGTGGAGGTAGGAAGATCAAGAGTTCAAGGGCAGCTTCAGCTACACAGTGGGTTTAAATCCAGCCTAGGCTACATGAGGTTCTATCTAAAAACAGAATCAGTGGATTCTTCCTCCCCTGTCTGTGTACATTTGTATAGGAAGGGCCTGGGACCTGAGAGGAGAAGCCATGTCAAAGTCATAGACCTTCCTTAGTAGCCAGACTAGGACAGGGACAGAATGTCCCTCCTAGCAGCCTGCTACCAATTGCTTCTGTGCCTGACCTCTTGATGATGGGATAGCTTTAATCCCAAATAACTATTTGCCAGACTCTAAACCTAGAATGCCACCATTATTATTATTTTTAATATGTATGGGTCCTGTGCCTGCATTTATATCTGTGTGTGTCTGGTGTCCTCGGAGACATGAGCAGGGAATGGAATCCCCTGCAAACGGAGCTACATATGGTTGTGCTGGGAATTGAACCCAGTTCCACTGGAAGAGCAGCCAGTGCTCTTAACCACTGAACCATCTCTCCAGGCTCTAGTGCTTCCATTCTTTTAGACAGTAATGGACCAAAATTCTTGCCAACACAGGCAAGTAAGAGAGAAACTATGTAGAAGAGACAGACGACAGACTTCTTTCCCTTTAAAGACCCCAGAGTCCATGTCCACCCAGCTTTATCTGCTCTGGGAAGAAGCATGTTGGAGCTCGATGGCATTTTGTCTTAGCCTAGCTCTGCAGACCAGGAGCACTCGCTCTCAAAAGATCCACTGCCATGATGGTCACAAGAGCTTAGGAATCAGTGGATTTATACCATGCCAGCCAGCCGGCCCTCAACCAGGCCAGGCTCACCAGCACCTCCAAGGCCAATGACCTTGCAGTCAAGGCTGAAAAGCTTGTTCTTGGAGAAGGTAGCTGAGACAGTAAAGGGCTTGCCTGTCATGAACTGAGTGAGGACCCGAGTTTGATCTAGAGACTGCATAAACCAAGTTTGTAGGTCCATGCCTGTCATCCTAGCACTGAGGAGACAGAGGCAGGAGGATCCAAAGTTCAAGGTTATCCCTGCTACATAGCAATCCAGAAGACCTGTAATACATAAGACTATCTTCAAAACAAATCACTTTAGGAAGGAAGGAAGAAAAAAACCTGCTATACATCTGGTTCCTACACAGTGAGAACCACTGACCAGCAGCACCCACAACCTGTGGGAACTCAGCAGACATATAAAGCCTCAGCCACACCACAGACATGCTGGATCTGAACCTGTAATTTACCAAGGCCGCTATCTATGGTGGCTCCAGGCATCCCCTCTCTGTAACCTAGAAAGGTGAGAGCCCCTTCACAGAGGATAAACAGAACCCAAGAGGTCACATGATTGTAGGTAGGACAGCCAGAATGTGTGTGACTTGGTTATAGGTTTCAACTCCACAAACACTTCTCAAAGCACAACGGAACATTATCTCTGGGGACACCTAAGTATGGGGGTCTTCAGAGCACTGAGCATATCCCATCCCCAGTGTCAGCTTCCCCCAAATCAAACCTTGTAAAGACCAACATGATTGATGAGGAAACACAGTGAACAAACACGTAGGGGACCGTTCTCTACCTAGTAATCAGACATGCAAACGAGAGCAACATTCAGGAGCCATTCTCTACCTATATAATTAGCAAGACAGGAAGAGAAAAAAAAGCCCAAACTGTTCTGAACAAGGCGCATGCATATACAAGCCGCGACAGCATAGATTTATATAACCCTTTGGGAAAGTGATCTGGCAACATCCATCAAGAGCCGTGAATATATTGTGCCCGCTGACCTGGGAATTCACCCGAAGGAAATAATTCAATAGGACGGCGGGGTGGGGAGCCTCATGAAAGAAGATGCTCACTGCAACACTGGCTGTGAACATGGGAAAATCCTAATATTCTGCAGGAAGGGAAGGGCTGGGGAAACTGGGCATCTATCAGTTCCTGCTCTGATAAGGCAGCCATCTGAAATGAAAATTAAGAGGTCCAAACAGTAACACAGAAACATGAGGAAAAGAAAGAATGGGACTGGAGCTCAGAGGCAGTGAGTGCGCTGGCCTCACGTGTGGGAGGCTGTAGGTTCAATCCTCTGGACAACGCCCCCATACCCACAACACCCCCTACCCCCACACAGAATTAACATTGCCCAGCCTCATAGTGCATGCCTGTTATCCCAGCACTCAGAAAGCAGAGGTGGGTGGATCTCTGTGATGTTGAGGCCAGCGCTGTCTACATAGTGAGTTCCAGGCCAGTTGGGGCTATACAGTGAGGCTTTGTTTTAAAATAAATAAACAAACAAACAAATAAATAAGTAAGTGGAAAATGTATGCACAGGAGGACAGGGAAGAGCTGGAGGGAGAGGAAGACAGTTTCAGGGTCAAGGACAGTGGACAGACTCTGTTACCTTTGCAGTTATAAACCTCAGAGAACAGCTTCAAGGGCTCTCAGACACACTCTATGTCTGAAGGTGACACAGAGACAGTCCTATCCCTCATTCCTAAACAGAGGGTCACACTCCAGATTGCCAAAGGTATGGGGAGCTGGCCCACTGGGGACCAGGGAGGCTATAAGAGGCCTCTCCTGACTTACCATGAAGCCTGGGGCACAAGTGCAGCCCCCAGTGATGCTGTGGCAGTCAGCGCCATTCTGGCAGGTGCAGGGCAGCTGGCAACCGTTGCCATAGTAGCCGGCAGGGCAGGACTCATTGCAGAAGTGGCCCGACCAGCCTGGTTGGCAGGTACAAGCTCCAGTGACCGGGTGGCAGCTGAGCAGAGGAAAAAAAAGGGGTAAGAGGACATCCCAGTCAGGGTTGCAACTGTGTCCCTTCCTCGCCCTCCCCAAGTCTAGCCTTCCCACTGCAGTAAGAGCAAAGGACCCCTGTGGTTAAGCTAGTCATGCCTTCTTTATGAGAAGATGTCACGGCCATACAAGGCTCATAGTTAAGCAACTTGCCTAAGTCATTCAGCAAGGAGGTACACCACTAGGATTAGAACCCAGACCTTCTGATTCTCAAACATGCACCCCCCCCCCCCTTTTTTCTTTGAGAGAGGGACTCATGGAGCCCAGGCTACCTTTGAACTCCCTATGTAACCGAAGGTAACACTGAATTTCTGGTACTCCTGCCTCCACCTCCCAAGGGCTAAGATGACAAGTATGTGAAGTATGTGTTACCATACCCTGTTTACGCAATGCTGGAATCAAACTCAGGCCTCCTGCACACTAGATAAGGACTCTACCAACTGAAATATATATATTCTTTATTTTTGGTTTTTCCAGACAAGGTTTCTCTGTATAGCCCTGACTGTCCTGGATCTTACTCTGTAGACCAGGCTGGCCTTGAACTCACAGAGATCCACCTGCCTCTGCCTCCCAAGTGCTGGGATTAAAGGCATGCACCATCATGCCCAGCTTGTATATTCTTTATAAACCACCACAGCCCAAAGTATGGGGCAGTGTCTTACTCCCTTGACTTACAGACTCTGAAGTCCAGAGTTCTCATCACTCAGCCCTCACCCACAGCAGATACCTAAGGTGGGGGAGGGGACCCTTGTGAAGTCAACCATGATACTAGTAGCTCTCCCCGGAGTAGACTCTTGGAGAACATTGATAAATAAGAGTTCAAACAAGACCTCAGGATAGGGTGGCTCCTCACTGACAATGTGTGTACCTAAGGAACTGCCTCTTGGGCCTCCTGATGCTCTGTAACGGAGCGAGCCCTTCTCCCTCTTTTGTCTGTGAAGGCTACAGAAAGAGCCATTGGTGGCAGCGTGACCGTGGAGTGGGCCAGTTTTGACTGATCATGGTCTGGTCCAGCAGCCAATATCCATTCCTGATCAAGAGCCCCCAAATATAGTAATAGGGTGTCTCTGCAGGGGTGTAACTGACTCATGACACCATCTGCTGAGTCCACATGCTGGGGCATTTTCCCTAGGATGGTCTCAAGGATGGAAACTAAGGTGGGCCACTCCTGAGAGGCCTCTGATGGGCTCCTGTGACCTCAAGACTCCTTCGCTTGCCACACTTTCTCAGAATTCGGCTGTGAGCCGATTCTCTCCCCTTCCTTTGAGCTCTCCCGGGCGGGGGGGGGGGGGGGGAGTGTCAGACCTACAACCCTTCCCATCCCTCCACCTCCTGTCTACCCCCCACTCCCCACTCCAACATGGCTCCTTTTAAGTCTCTCTTTTGTGTGGTTCTAGAGACCAGCCCAGAGCTTCCTGCAGACTAGGCAAGCGCGTTCTTCACTACATGCCCACATGGTTCCCACTTGGCATTTGCTTCTGGGCCAGCCCAGACTAGAACAGCAGGGGTAAGTGGGAACTGGCAGCTCCAATCACCTCCTCTCTGCCCTCGAATCAGGCTCAGATTCGATCTGGGAAGCCCTGCAATGGCTGGCCAATGCTAGTCTTTGTTCCTTTAAGTCCCACAAGAACAGGAGCTTGGTGTTCTGTAGGTCGCAGGAATAAAACTCAGGCCATCAAGCTCGATGGCAAGCAACTTTACTCAACAACTCCCGACCCTGATCCTCCCGCCTCTACCTCTCCAGTGCTAGGGTAACAGCTGGGTACCATTACCACAGCTGGTTTTATGCTGTGCTGGAATTCGAACCCATTCATGTATGCTAGGCAAGCACTCTGTCAGCTGAGCTACAAGCCTGTGTTGAATTGTTTTCTCTGTCTGTTGACTTGTTTTCTATCTACTAGGTTCCAGCTCTCTGGGGAAGAGTTCTTGTCTGTCTGGTCACCTCTCAGGGCCCAGTGGGGTTCCTGGCACAGGGGAAGTGCTGACCTCATGGCATGCTTAAATGAATGAATGAATGAACAGACTAACTGTGAGCAGCCAGTCAGGCTCTCTTCTAGGAGGCCCCGGTGTTCTTGTAGAAAATGAGGGGGTGGACCAGAGCAGACAGTTCTGGAATAATAAGTACCAGCAGCTAATAATCACTTCAGAAAATGTTTAGTCTCATTAATCATCCAGTCAAAACAACAATTGGATATTACCTTCTCTCTATCAAAACACAGACGAGCTTTTCAAATGCTGGTAAAGGTTTCCAGACAATCCGAGGTTATGTATCAGGAGACTAAATATATGCAGATGCCTTGGTCTTGTAATTCCATTTCTAAGAATCTATCCTAAGGAAACAGTCATGGCTGTGGAGGAAGATTTATGCACAGAGATGTTCCCTGAAGCATTATTTATAACAGTGGAAAATGGAAGCAATTTGAATAATAATAAATAATATGTGACCAGGCTATGAAAGCAGCAGGCACCTCACACATATATTTCTCATCTTCCACCAACCTGTGAGGTAGGAATGTGAGCCTCCATTTTACAGGTGGTACCAGAGGTTCTGGGACCTGCCCAAGGTCACACAGATAAGTGGGTAAATGATGGAGCTGGGGTTTGAACCAAGGTCTGGCCATGTTTATCCTGTGCTTCGTGTCACCTCTGACAAGAAGGTGCTAGTTAAATGTGTTAGGACTATCCTTAAGAAGGGATCTTAGATGACAGGTGTGGTGGTGTACATCTTTAATGCTAGCACTTGGCAGGCAGAGACAGGTGGATCCTTGTGAGTTCAAGCCCAGCCTGGTCTACATAGTGAATTATAGGCTAACCAGTGCTACTTAGTGAGACACAGTCTCAAAATAAAAGAGGAGGAGGAGGAGGAATGTAATCGAGGTATTCATTGTTCCTCCAAATAGCTAATGATTTAAGATTAAATAAAATATATAAATTCTATACAAAGTTTATATTTTAGGGCTAAGGATATAATTCAGTACCTGCCAAGTATGTTTGAGGCCTTGGGTTCAATTCAGTACCACCTCTCCCCCCAAAAAAACCCAAACAATCTCCAAACAAAGTCTCACAACAGGGACTGGAAAGATGGCTCAGTGGTTAAGAGCACAGGCTGCTCTTCCAGAGGACCCAGGTTCAATTCCCAGCACCCACATGGCAGCTCACACTATCTGTAATTCCAGTTCCAGGGAATCTGACACCCTCACACAGACATGCATACAGGCAAAACACCAATGCACATAGAGTAAATAAATAAATAGATCTTAAAATAAAAACCATAACAAACAAAATATGAGTCACACAAACAAATCCTCAAACTAAAACAAAACCGTAAAGTCCCCCCAAACTAAAGTCATGATCTGAAATATGAGAAATGTGCAGGTACTAGGATCCGAACTCAGGTCCTCTACAAGTATAGCATTTGCTGTAACTGCTGAGCTGTCTCTCCAACCTCATTCCTTTCTTTCTCACACCCTTATAGTCTCTATTCTTTTTTTTCTTTTTTTTACTTGGACACTGGATTCATGTAGCCCAGGCTAGCCTTTAACTTGCTATGAAGTTGAAATTCATCTTTTAATTCTCCGCCTCCACCTCTGAGGTACTGAGATTCCAGTCAGTACACCTAGTTGATTGGGTGTTGGGGGTGGAATCCAGGGCTTGGTACGTGCTAGGTGTGGTGGTCTGAAGGAGAATGGCCCCCATTGGCTCATAGATTTGAAGGCTTGGTCCCTGGTTGTGGAACTGTTCTGAAAGGATTAGGAGGTGTGGTCTTTTTGGAGGAAGTGTGTCACTGAGAGTGGGCTTTGAGGTTTCAAAAGCTCATGCCAGGCCCACGCTTGCTCTCTCTCTCTCTGCCTGCTGCCTGTGAATCGGGATGTAACCTCTCAGTCACTGTTCCAGCACCATGCCTGCCTGCCTGCCTGCCACCAGGCTTCCTGCCTGCCTGCCTGCCTGCCACCAGGCTTCCCGCCATGATGATCATGAACTGACCCTCTGAAACTGTAAGCAAACTACAATTAAATGCTTTCTGTTATAAGTTGCCTTGGTCATCTCTTTACAGCAATAGAGCAGTAACCAAGACTCTAGGCAGCACTCCACCAGATGAACTATATCCCCAGCTCTACAATTCTATTTCTAGAAACAGGACATTGGCTTCTTAATTTGATGATCTGTTATAATTCTCTAAATGTCCCTCTGAAAAGATGCCGAGGAGTGACCGCAGACAATTTGGCTTTTTATTTTTTGTTTTTTGAGACTATGAAGCCCAGGCTGGCTTTGAACTCATGGCTATCCTTCTGCCTGTATGGCCCCCTGCCAGGGCCTCCCTACCCCTGGGTCCTGGTTGTTCGGCAGTGCTGGGGGAGGCTGGGACCAAAGTCCGCATCACCGATACTCAGGCCACCTCCACTGTGTCAGGTTTCCCTGATTTTCTTCCTCTTCCCCGACACAGATTAATCACTAGCTAACAGGAGCCGAAAGCTGCACAATGTGTGTGGCAGCTACACAGAGTGCGTTTTTCTGCCTTTCTTTTGCCCTGATGAGATTTCTATCTCCGTGGCATCTGCTGGCTAAATCAAATCTTTCAAAGGTAATCCGCCATCATGGCTACTGGAACTCATCTATGACAATCCAATTTCGGAGGGAACATTTAAGAGGCCTGACACCCAGACACTGTCCTCAAGGTGAATGCTCTATGAAGAAAGGTGGTCTCTTTTGTGTTTTCACAGAGCCCAAAGAGGAAACAAAGCTCCCCAGCCCAGCTCCTTCCCAGGGCAACCCAAAACCTCTCTGTGGCAGCTAGCCAGAGGGGAGGGGGCAGGGAGAGGTTATGGGTGGGCTGGGAAGTTGCTCCTGTGCTGATCAAAAGTGATAGACAGATTGGGAGGCAGACATAGAGAGGAGAGGGGTATATATCAGGGTATTTTCTTCAGTAGCTAGTAAAGAAGCAGCCTGCCTCCATCTTAGACTTAAAGGCCATCTTATAGTAAAGACAAACTAGGCTCATTCCTGTTACGATTAAACCTCTGTTTCTCAAGGACTGGGCTGTGCCCCACCTGTTACCTTAACTACAAATGGTTCTGTACTGCACCTTCCAGGAATGTCAATCATGTCTTTGTTTCAAAAAGTTGTTTATAACCAACCTGCAACCCTCCCTTTGTTTTTAAAGGTTTTATGACCACCTATGACTCCCTTGCGATGCCCACCCTGCAACCATTGTTTGAGGAGGTCCTTAGGAGTAATTACTATGCTTATGTTCTGCTCCTGTAACTCTATTTTGCCTGACAAATCCCCCATTTGGAAACTCCCTACCCCCCCCCCCCCCCCCCCCCCCCCCCCCCCCCCGAGTTATAAAAGCCTTGTCTTCCTCACATCCAATGCTGACCTCTCAACCCTGCCTTAGGGGGAGGCAGCCCCTGTACATGAATAAAAAAGCTTGCTTTAATTAATTGCTTGCTTTAATTAATTTGCCCATGATGATTTGGATTGAGGGTCTTTCTCTTCCCATCTTTGGGATTAACAGTAGATCTGAAGCCAGGACAGAGGGGAGAACCCGCCACCCAATACCTGCAACTTAGCTGCCTTAAGATTGGAATTGTAGCCCCCATCTGTCTCTCTCTCTCTCCCTCCCCCCTCCTTCCCTCTCTTTCTCCCCTTCTCTCTCTCCCCTTATTCCTTCACTCCATCCTATTTTTATTTTTTTGAAACAAGATCTCATAGCACCCGTTCTGGCCTCCAAGTAACCAAGGACGACCTTGACCTTCTGAACCTCCTGCCTTTGTCTCCTACATGCTGGAATTACAGGTATGTGCCACCATGCCCAGTTTATGCTATGTTGGGGATGGAATATGCATCCTGGCCGTACGGGTGCCAGGCAAATGCTCTACCAACTGAGGCACACCCCTCGCTGCAGGTCTTCGCTTTCTTTATATCCCAAGAGAAGGCTCTATCTACAGTGAGTCAAAGCTTCACAGGAGGAGCAAGGCTGAGAGTGTCCATACACAGGGAGAGACCTGTCCTCAGTGTGCGTAAAGACAAAGCCAAGAGCAGCAAGGTTCTGCTAGACCAGAGGTTCTCATCTCAGCCGCCTTGCTTCCTCTGGGTGGCACTCACTGGAAACATCTTTGGGTGTCAGAACTTGGAGAAGGGGGAATAGTTAAAAAGCAGGTGGGTGGAGCTACCCAGAAGGATGCACTGTTTAAGATGAATTCAGTGATGCCTGTCACTGAAGGCTGAGGCCGTGGTGATAGAGATGGATAAGGCAGGGTGCTGGTGCCCTTGGAGGTCCAGGCTTGGGACCAGGCTCTCCCCGGGGAGGTAGTGCTTTGGAGTCTAAGCAGCCTGCCTGGAGCTGGGCAGGCAGGCACCTTCCAAGGACCCATGTCTAAGGAGGGCTGTTGCCTCCCCGTTCCTTGAAACATGACACCCGTTAAAGACAGTAAAGCAAATAATCATTAATATTGGATGGGCTGAGATTAGCGACAGAGAAGAGGGAGCCCTTCCAGATTAATAATGCATGGAGGACTCCTTCAGAAGAAAGATAAATTATGCAGGGCACGGTTGCCCAGGCATGGGAGGAAAACAATAGCTTTTTAATTTGGGGCTTGAGTGGATTTCTACGGTAGGGACTCTTCCTGAATGGGGACCTCAGCAGCCTCCTTGGCTTCCCAGCAGGGATGGGTGTCCCATGCTGTCTTCCACTTGTGAGCGGCTTTCTCATCCCCATACTTGGGAACCTTAAACCTCTCACCCTGTCCTTCAGTCCAGGCCACAGGCCACCTCTTCCAGCGTGGTGGCTTCTTGTGATCTTTTATGCACATATCCAGGGTCACGGTAACTTGGACACATGTTGGGACCCAGCAGAGCCAGGGACATATATATTTCTACCCCACTATTTCTCAACCTCTGATGTTGGGTGTGTTATACACTTAATGGTATGCCGTGGTTTGGCTGAATGAACTTTGGTCCATTAGAAACAAAGCAGGGCTCTGAGACACCACTGGAGGTGCCTTGTATTGGAAGAACATTCAAGAAAGTGCCTAGTGTCAGTGAATACTCAGAATCTGAGATCCTAAGAGCACCTGGGCTTCCCTCTTGTAGCCTGGCCCTGTCCTCTGGGGGCATGTTTGTTGAGTGAATAACAAGGCACGGAAATGTTCACATAGACCTTGGCTCTAGGCTCTCTGGGTATAGTTCTCCTCTGAGATGCCACCAGGAACCATATTCATCTGAACTCATATATGCTGAGATGCCCTGCATGCTGTGGCCGGAGGCTCCAGGGTGACCTTTGAGAAACCACACTGGAGGTGAAGAGGGACCTCAGAGCAGAGGCCTTCTCCGCCTGGCCATCTGCACAGTATCCACTGTCTGGGCCAGCCTGTCTTCCTGGGACGTTCATAGGCCAGGAGAAAGGATGTTCCCACCCCTTACTGTCCTGACAGCAGGCAGTCAGATAAAGGACAGTGAGGCATCTCCAGGGCTGACAGCCCCGCTTACTAACAGAAGGTAGGGCCGCTGGAGCGGCTAGCAGGAAGGGAAAGAGGTGGACGAGGAGGCTGGGACCATCTACTCTTCTGCTTCTCAGGCTCAGTCCTCTCTGGAAGTAGGAGAGACTAGCTACTGTCCACACATTTCTAAGCCATCCTGGGCAGGGGCCAATCTCTGTCCTTCCTGCTGTCCCACCTGGCTGGGCCTCTCTGGGTCCCGGGATGGGCTTTCTAAGGCTCCAGCTTCCGGTTAGATGCTCAGGGTGGAGAAGAGGACTCTCCAAGATAGTTCACCAGACACCGTGCATCAGCCGTCACCCCAACCCTTCCCAGCCCCCAGAACTATCCAGTTCTAGTCCCCCATTTCTGTGGGTCATTCCTATATGAGACTGACCCAGTGTGAAGCCCAGGCAGCTTGACACGGAGAACAGGTGGCCGGTGACCTAAGGTCTGGTCCTGACTCCAGCTGAATGGCATTAGTTTTCACATTTTATCAGAGAGATCAAAGCCCTGAAGACCCTGCTTCTCCCAGCTGACTGACTGGCCACACTGGAGGTGGGGCCACAGCCTGGGAAGCCTTTCTCCATCATGGAGGCCACCCAGACCCTGCCCCAGGCTTACCTATCCACAGCTCATACCTGATAGTGTTTTCGGGGTCACAGGGACAGGGCAAGGAGCAGCCTGGGCCATGCCAGCCCTCGGGGCATAGCCGCTCTTGGCAACTAGGGCCCTTGTAGCCAGGTTCACATTCACAGGCGCCTGTGGTGGGTGAACATTGACCTCCGTTGTGGCAGTCACAGCGCTGAGAACACCGGAAACCGAAGGTTCCAAAGGGACATTCCTCTTGGCACCTGTGGGAGAGCAGAGCAGGGTGGGGCTGTGGGCCGAAGCCCTTGCTTGCCTTCTCGATGCATCCGCACAGACCGCCCCCCCCCCTCACTTGGAATGTCTGGTGTGCTCCTTCCCTCCCAGCCTCCCCCCACCCCGCCCCGTTTCCATGGGAACTTCACCCCACATCTCCTTAGCAGCCAGCTATGAGCTTGTATTATCAGTGTAATGATGCAAAACTTTCTTCTTCATTGCAAAAACCGTGATAAGGCTGGGTGTGGTGGTGCATGCCTATAATCCTAGCAACTTGGGAGACTGAGGCAGGATGGTGCCTTTAAGTTTGGGGCCAGCCTGGTGGGTTCCAGACTACCTGTGTGATTGTGGTCCTTGTGTGACTGAAGTCCTCTTTAAAAAAAAAAAAAAAAAGTGTGATAAAATGTGTGTGCTATGGTTTGAATGTTTGTTTCCTTCAAAATCCATAAAGAGAGGGGTTTTTTGGTAATTAATTGTATAATACATCGATTTAATAATAAATATGAACATTTATATTTAAAGAGTCTCATGTAGACTAGGCTGGCTTCAAACTCACTATGTAGCCAAGGGTGACCTTGAACTTCCCATCCTACCTTTTCCATGTCCTTAATGCTCCCATACCTGGATTATGTGGTGCTATGAATTTTTTGTTTGTTTGAGACAGGATCTTACTCTGTAGTTCAGGTGGTTGTCCTAGAATTCACTATGTAGCCCAGGCTTTGATTTCACGGCAATCCTCCTGTCTCAAACTCCTGAGTGCTGGGATTACTAGGGTGTGCTTTCCCAAGTCTCAGGTGGAAGCCTCTCTCCCCTGTCCTGTGGAGCCCTATGGTTCCTCCCCTCAGGGTGGAATGTCCCTTACGTACAAGTGTGTCCCTCTTTCATCAAGCTGCATACTCCCAAAGACTGGCTATTTGCTCTTCCTGAGATCTAAGGACTCAATCGGGGCCTAGCTCTCCCTGTTATCAGCCAGTGAGCCCGCACGGTGGAGGACAGGTACCCTTTGTGCTATGTGAGCTCATACAGGTAGATACTTAGAGGTCCCCAGCCTTTAGGCCAATAAATACTGATCTTTTGTGTGTCAGCTGCTGGCTTCCTGGCTTCCTGAATGTGCTTTAAAAACCCTTGCTGCAGTCCAGGATAATTTTCCAGGGGCCACAAGCTTATTGTCATAGCAGCTGGGCCTTGGGGAAATAAGGGGTTACCTGGGGGCAACCTGTGCACTAGAGGAAACTAGCCTCTGGGCTTGGGGGATTACCTATTTCTAAACTCTGCTTCAGTGATACAGATAATGAAGACCTAAACTTCTATGGGCCACTTGCTCGTCATAAGATGAACTGGTAACCCTCATCAGGTTCTTGAAGTTTAAATAAGATAATACTAGAGACTTGGAGAGATGGCTTAGCAGTCAAGCACTCCAATTTGACTTGCAATACCTGAGTTCTGTTCCCAGCACCCACACTGGGCAGCTCACAACCACGTGTAACTCCAGGTCCAGGGGATCTGACAGTCTCCTCTGGCACTGCACTCACATGTACATAACCCACCCCCCGTACACATAATTAACTTTTTAAAAGGTATAACTATCCAGAAAGGTAGCCAGGAGACCGCTATTTGTTGTTACTCTTAAATAAATCTCTTAACTGCTGACCCATCACTCCAGTTTTTATTAAGAGTTTGTTATAGTTCTTAAAACACAGCAGATCTGACCCTCTTGCCTTAGATTCAGGCATGAAAAGGCTCAAAGAAAAGAATCCGGAAATGTAATGGAAGCATGGACTTGAGGGATTAGAAGCTGTTTAATTATTACTTGTGTGGAGGTCGGAGGACAGACTGTAGAGTTGGTTCATGTAAGGCAAATGATCAGAGCTTACTTCCGGGTTTTGAAAACCCACCAGTCCCTGACCTCCAAAACCCACCAGTCCCTGAGCTCCAAAGCCCACCAGTCCCTGAGATCTAAATCCCACCGTCCCTGAGCTTGAAAACTCAACAATCCCTGAGCTTGAAAACCCAATGATCCCTGAGCCTGAAAGCCCAACAATCCCTGAGCCTGAAAACCCACCAGTCCCTGAGCCTGAAAACCCACCAGTCCCTGAGCCTGAAAACCCACCAGTCCCTGAGCCTGAAAACCCACCAGTCCCTGAGCCTGAAAACCCACCAATCCCTGAGCCTGAAAACCCACCAGTCCCTGAGCCTGAAAACCCACCAGTCCCTGAGCCTGAAAACCCAATGATCCCTGAGCCTGAAAACCCAACAGTTCCTGAGCCTGAAAACTCAACAATCCCTGAGCTTAAAGTCCCACCGATCCCTGGGCTCACCCCAAGATCAGGACTTGAAATCTCACCAATCCCCACTGAGGAAATCTTCACCCTGAAAAACTCTGCTCCCAAGAAACCCTATATAAGCCTGTCTCCCTCTCAGTTCCCTACTGCTTCTCACCAGAGCAGAGGTGGCCACCTTCTTGTGTCTTTCCCAATAAACCTCGTGTGTGAGGTTTGTTGTACAGTGTGATTTTGTGGTATCCCTGACTCCAGGGATACCACAGGATACCTTTCCCCTCAGAGCTGTAACACTTACAGTTCTGTTCTCCCACTTCTACATGTCTTCCAGGGATGGAACTCAGGTCGCAGGCTTTGAATAGCAGGCACCTTTACGTGCTGAGTCATCTTACCAGCCCCCTCCCCCTAAGATTTAAGTGTTCAAATGTGACCTTGAACTCCTGATTCTCTTACCTCTACCTCCTGAGTGCTGGGATTACAGACAGACATGAACCATTAAGGCCTGTTTACTCAGTACCGGGGATGGAACTCAGGTCTTTATGCATGCTAGGCCATCACCCTATTGAGCTACGTCCTCATTTGTTTATGTTCTAAATGTACTCTGTGCTAGCTAGTTATACGTCAACTTGACACAAGCTAGAGTCATCTGAGAGGAAGGAACCTCAACTGAGAAAATGTCTCCACAAGATAAGACTGTAGGGCATTTTCTTAATTAGTGGTTGATATGGGAGGGCCCAGTCCACTGTGGGTGGAACCACCCCTGGGCCAGTGGTCCTGGGTTCTATAAGAAAGCAGGCAGAGTAAGCCATGAGGAACAAGCCAGTAAGCAGCACCCCTCCATGGGCTCTGCATCAGCTCCTGCCTCCTGGTTCCTGCTCTGCTTGAGTTCCTGCCCTTACTGCTTTTGATGATGAACTGTGATATGGAACTGTGAATGAAATAAACCCTTTCCTCCCCAAGTTGCTTTTGGTCATGGTGGTTGATCACAACAATAGTAACCCTAACTAAGACATACCCATAATTCTTCTTCATAGGTATTCTTCCTCATAGACAGGGCAGGGAGAGGGTGGTCCTACTGAGAGGTTGGTGGCCTAAAACGAGGACAAGTGGCCACGCACCAGTAGACTTGGGGGGCAGCATTGTGTATGGGAGGATTGAGAGCAGCCAGAGTATTGGGGACTAGCCTTGGCAACTAGAGACTAGGTGTTCTCGTTTCTGTCTTTGCTGTTCTATGCCCAGAGTGATAAGAGGCAGGAGAGTGACTGGGATGTAGCTTTAGAGCTTCCCTCAAGGGAGAGGCTACTTACTGACTTCCCCCTTTCAGAGCTACTGTGTGAGGGGTGGAATCCCGCTGAAGGGAGGCATGAGAAAGATCTAGGCTGCCCTGGGTCGCCCCAACCTGCTGGGACAGGAACAAAGGGAGGAGTTCCTAGGGGAGGAAGGGCAGGAGGCAGACAGGAGAGAGAAAGGGGGCACTGAGAAGGGAGGGAACTGAGGTAGAGGGCAAGGAGCAAGAGCAGCTAGAGACCCACCGTCTAAACTGCCAGTCCCTGCTCAGCGTCGGCATCCTCCACAGACCCCTGAGCTCTCTGACGTCAGGAGACACCTGCTCCCTTGTGTTGGCATACTCCTGCCCATTCCTGCCCACTCCTGCCCAGCACTGCAGACAGAGCTGCTCTGAAGAGAGTGCCCACCTGGCTGTGTTCCAGGGGAGGGGGCACTGAATCCACATGCCCAGAAAAGAATCTAGAGATGAAATATTGACAACCCAATCCATTTCCATAATCAGTCTCTTTTTACTTTTCTTCCTATCCACAATTTAAACAACTTATTTATTTAGAGATCAAGCTAAGACTGCTAATGAATTTTACACAAAGCACACTAATAACCGGCCCATGGAACAGGAGGATAATCACAGCAGGGATTAGCTTTCTACTTAAACACCCTTCCTTCCCAATGTATCAATCTAATGTGTCCGATCTTGCCATTAACAACCAGATACATTGCTCAATTAAATTACAAGTTACGTTTCGTGTTTAATTTGAGCTGGATCCCGCCTATCTGGGGAGACCCGCGTTATTATGCCCGCTTGGTTTTAATATGCTCATGATAATTTGGGGTGGGCTAATGCAGCTGTCACCTACAAAATTAATGGAGGCAATTTTACAAAATATTAAACACCAGGCAGCCTGTTGAGGCGGGAAAGCCAAATGCTCATGGCACTCTACATGAACTCTCCTGAGGCGGGTTTGGAAGCAAGCTCCACGGTTTTGGAGATTTTTCTCTGCTCTAGGATCAAGGGTGAGACTCCAAGAAGGGACACTTGGGATTATTTCTGCCCTTGGTGAACCCCGAGAGCAAATGAGGTGGCTCTCCTGGTGCCTGGTAGCTTGCGAGAACCCTGACACCAGTTTCTAACACATGAATAAGGGCTGGGACAAAGGGGTCCTCACTTGGTCTCCAGCATTTCCTTACTTTGGGGTTTGAAGATGTAATGGGAAGGCGGACCTGTCACTTAATCCTGGATCCCCAGAACCAGTACTCTGTACTTCGGGGAACCCATGGAGATGAACGCTGGCATGAGGCTTAAGAACTTTAGGGTGTAAGCAAATAAACCCAGCACTAGTACACAAGGTCCTTCTGGGTATCACTAAAGACTGGGACAGTTCCAGGGAGAGCAGGGGAAATGCCGATTGTTAGTCAGATCCAAATGTAAGTTCATTGGTTGAGTGCCTATCTAGTATGCAGGAAGCTATGGATTTGACCCCTGGCACCACATTAATTGGGCCAGGTAACATAAATCTGTACCTCAGCACTGAGGAGATGGAGACAGGAAGTTTAGAAATTCAGGTAATCATTGGCTATACTGTGAGACTGAGGCCAGCCTGGGCTGTGAGAGACACTGTCCACACACACACACACACACACACACACACACACACACACACACACACACACACACACACCCCAGAAAGGACTCACTGGGTAACTTAGCCTTGATCCCTGCTTATGTCACCCAGACAGAGACCAGGAAACCAATATCTTGTCGGAGACTCCCCACCCCCCATCTCCCCTGCAAGCCTAGTGGACTGCAGGAAGTCGATCCACAAGAGGTGAAGAGCATGAGAGGTGAAGAGTGAAACCGGAGAAACAGTACCGTATCTGCGGGCACTGTGTCACAGCCTTCCAGACACTGACGTCATGGTCAGTCTTACCTTTCTTACACATTAAATGTAGTAGAACTTTTGGGGGAAAAAAACTCTCCACCTGACAATTCTCATAACAAAGCTCCGGGGCTGGCTACATTATTTGCAAAGAAGCAAAGCACCTGTGATCTTTACAATAGGAATGAATTCTATTGGCTGATAAACAGAGCTAGGACTAAGGCCTAAAAGACGGATCTGTGATACGCATAAGGATAGATTCTGTTGGTGGAGGATGAAAAATACGTGGGGTCTCTTTCTTAGCGATGTGTTCTGTTCACTGAGAGACAAGCTCAGGATATTGGGGGATTATTTGATCAAGTCTCTCCATCATTCCTGGTGATCAGGCCTCATTCATTTCCCTCCATTGATGAAAACAGGCCTGTGTGATGGACAATCCTGGTTCTCCAGTGCTTCCTCTAAGCTGTGCTTTCTAAATTATCTTCTCTCACTTTGTCTAGAAAGAGTAATAACATTCAGGGGCCAGAGGTGAGACTTGGTTCCACCTGCACAGAGCCAGGTAAAGGCAAGGACTCCTCAGGCTGGCTGGCGGAGGAAGGGGACCCGGCCAGGGTCTGTGGATACATGTGGTCCTTCACCTCCAGTTCGCCATCAGCCACACAGGCTTGTTTCTCCCTCCACTGTGCTGCCCCGGCCCCATGGCTTCCTTCCAACTGGTGCAGTTGTACCCAGAAGGCAGTTCCTCAGTTATGTGTTCTGTTGCCTGTCCCCCCCTGCCAGGTTGGCTTCCTTCAAGGACATCAGAGTCTCTCTGGACACCCGCTCAGCCTGCTCTCAGGCACTCATTCCACACAACCTGATGTCAATATCTTTCAAAGATAACCCAGTTTTGGAATAAAAATCTACTTCTAAAGGAACTTCAAAATGTGGACACTGATTTTTCTCTCTTAGCTCTTTTGGGGTCTCTTTACCACCGCTTCCCTCTGCTAGTGCAGACAGGGGAGATGGGGGGGTGTCACTCATCTCCATCCCCAGTGCAAGTTTAAGGCAGTCAGGCTGGAGGAAGGGTGGGTGGCATGCACAGGGAGAGAAAGGGTGAGCAGATGGATTTCCCTGGTAGGGCTCAGAATGTCTTCTGAGCAAAGAGACAGACGGCTGGCCAGAGGTGCTGTGGCTAGAATTCTCTGCAAGGCCGCAAGGAGGGTATGAACAACTGAACACCAGAGACAAGAGTTAAGGGCATCCTCACCTGTCCCCCATGTATCCAGCTGTACAGTGGCATTGTCCAGTCACATGGTCACACTGGCCTCCATGATGGCAAGGACAATCTTGGCTACAGTTCTGGCCAAATGTCCCTGGTGGGCAGGGCTGGGCACACACTGCTCCCTGAAATAGAATTAAGGACAGGCTTGGTAGGGCTCCAAAGATATCATGCTGAGGTTAATTCTCCAAGGAATATTGGGGCCCCAGGGGCCACCCCAACTTCCCAGTGTAATCAGGAGAGCTGGCATTCATGCTACAGTTACACTCTCAGCCAATCTCAGCATACAGTTAGTGAATACCTGTTGTATACCAGGTGCTGGGTTAGATACCTGGGGCACAGAAAGCAGGTATGATTTGATGCCTGTCCTCCCAGGTCCTGGGGAGACCACCAAGAAAACCAAATAGAGTACATAATGGTAGTCCTCTCATATGTACTAGAATAAAAAGTTGTGGAGTATAGGAGAGCCCCCGCCCCATTAAACATCCAGCTGTGAAGACACACTCACCTCTGTACCTTTCCTAAACCCAGCTACTATGAGAATAGAGGACCCAAAGGGAGGTGGGGGGAGGGGAGGGGAACTGGGGTGTGAAGAAGGGGGAGGGGCAGAAGGGGAGGAGACAGGGCAGTGAAGGACGGAAGGAGGAGAAATGAAATAGGGGATTATGACTCCCATCAGGGCAGAGCATCACAAATTTTATTAAAAAGACGTTTTAAAACCATATTCTTGCCGGGCGGTGGTGGCGCACGCCTTTAATCCCAGCACTTGGGAGGCAGAGCCAGGAGGATCTCTATGAGTTCGAGGCCAGCCTGGAAAACCAAGTGAGTTCCAGGAAAGGCGCAAAGCTACACAGAGAAACCCTGTCTCGAAAAATACAAAAAAAAAACCCAACATATTCTTATTTCTGTGTATGTATGCCATTGGCATGTGGATGTCCGAGGAGTCCAGAAGAGGTCTTTGGATCTCCTGGAGCTGGAGTTACAGGTGGTTGTAAGCTCTCTGACATGGGTTCAGGGAGCAGCTGAACTTGGGTCCTCTGGAAGAGCAGCAAGTGCTCTTAACTACCGAGCCAACACTCCAGCCACCAAAGTTTTGTATTTCTTTTTTAATTATTTTATTTTTTATTTTATTCACATTTATGTTTTACCTCCATGTGCATCTGTCTGAGGGTGTTGGATCTCCTGGAACTGGAGTCACAGACAGTTGTGAGCTGCCATGTGGGTGCTGGGAATTGAACCCAGGTTTTCTGGAAGAGTTACCAGTGCCTTTAACCACTGAACCATCTCTCTAGCCCAACGTTTTATATTTCCACAGGTAAACTTAATCAAAGTTCTTAGGAAGAGGAAAGCAGTAATACATAAGCACCAGGATTAAGTTCTTAGAGCTCTTAGCTGGAAATTAGGTGACAGTGGGGCAGTTCCTTAACATTTGGAGAGAAAATAGTTTCCAATCTAGAACCCACAGTCAAGCAGCAGGAGGGATATGGCTCAGAGGTGAAGCCTGGATCTCAACACTTCAAGAAAACAAACTGGTTCAAACAAGACAAGACAAAATCCTTTTGTCTAGAATTTTATACCTACCAAAACCAAGACTTAAGCAGGGGATTTGATAGGACAGTTTCAGATTTGAATAAACTCACAAACATTAACCTTCATGGGTACTTTAGGTAACTAGGTGGAAGATGCCCCACCCCTCATAAAATAAAATTTAAAAAAAAAACAAAAAACATGTCCAGGAAAAAAAAAAAAAAAAAAAAAAAAAACATGTCCAGGGCTGGTGATACAGTTCCGTCAGTGGAGGGCTTCCTGGCCTGTGTGAAGCCCCGAGTTCAGTTCTCAGCATCTACAGACTCAGTGTGGGGGTGCACACCTGCAGTGGAGGCAGGAATATTAGAAGTTCAAGGTCATCGTCAGTCATCCTCGGCTATGTGCCTAGTTTGAGAGTTAGACTGATATATGAAATCTTGTTAATCCACCCCTCCCAAAAAAAAGAAAGAAAGAAAGGTAGAAGAAAGATAATTACTCAAGAAAACTTAAAAAGCAAAAGAAAACATGGATTCTGAGAACTAGGGACCCATCAAAGGAGAAACAAAAGGAATCCCAGGACAGTAGTGAGTATGCCAAGCAAAGAGCCCATGCAACAGAAGCACAAGGTGTTCTGAACGCTGCCTCAAAACACAAAGGCAAAAACAAAAAGGGAGGGAGGAGGGAAGGAGGGAGGGAGGGAGGGAGGGAAGGAAGGAGGGAGGGAGTTAGTGAGGGAGGAAGGGAGGGAGTTAGTAAGGGAGGGAGGGAGTTAGGGAGGGAGGGAGGGAGGGAGGGAGGGGGTGACTTCTGAGGTGTCTGACTTACTGAGAGTTATTTCAGACTTGGGCTGAGCTGTCAGCTAGATTAGTAACGGCGCACACACAGGCACGTTAATGCAAACACACACAGGCACATTAACACAAACATCGTGAACTTAGCAGTCTTCTGTTCTGTCTTTGGGGAGCTGCTCTGTACTCTGGGTATTTCCCCTCTTTCTCTGAAGCCCTCCTCCCTCTCTGTGGCTGCTTGTCTCCCATGCGTCTGACCTCCACGCCAACTCAACTCAAGTAGGGGGAGGCTGGAATTAAGTACAATAAAATGTAAGCTTATTTATTTATATATGTGCATGCGTGTGTGCCATGGCACGCATGTGGAGGTCATAAGACAACTTGCTGGAGTCATTTCTCTTTCTGCCATGTGGGTCCCAGGGGTTGAACTCAGGTTGCCAGGCTTGAGGACAATAGCTGATGCCACTGAGCCAGCTCACCAGCCTGAACTCCAATCTGAAGTCAATAGTTAAGGAGTGGCTGGGGCTGGAGAGATGGCTCAGCGGTTAAGAGCACTGGCTGTTCTTCCAGAGGTCCTGAGTTCAATTCCCAGCAACCACATGGTGGCTCACAACCATCTGTAGTGGGATCTGATGCCCTCTTCTGACATAAAGCCACACATGCAGACTGAGCACTCATATACATAAAATAATAAATAAATCTTTAAAAAAAAAAAAAAAAGAAGTAGCAGTAAAAGCACGTTAGGTAGAAAATGGAGGGAGAAGCCCCAAGAGACCCAGACTGGGGTTGTGAGCATGTGCACTGAGGGCTGTTTTCTCTCCACCCCCACCCGCCAGTATTAGCCTTGTGGTATATACCTTTAAGACAGTTTGTATACATTTCAAGTCTTCATCAGATGTCTGAGCCTAGTCTCGTCTCCTGCCACCCTTTCAGCCAGAGATAATCATTTCTCTTATGGAGAATGAAGATGATCCTCCAATTAATTAATCAATTTGTTCAACACACAGTTATTAAGCACCAATAATCACCAGCCCCAAAGAAGCTAGTTCAGTCGGGAAAAGCTTGCCAGACCAGAGCCATCTTCCTGCATTATGTTATTGAGTTGTAATGAATTAAGTGGGAGGCTTTCAGCTCAGATTACTCTCTGCAGGCACCAAGGGGCCTGGTGAAGGGAGGATTGTGAGGCCAGTGTGCAGAAGTCGGGGAGAGGAGCCTGGGGATGGCAGGGGCCTGTCTCTGGCTTCTCTGCACCTCTGTCCTTACTGTCTGGGGATGTCGAGGGTCCTCCAACCCTGAAAAAGATTTCAAGCCAACTTAGGCAGGGAATGCTTATGCCTACCTGTTCCCTCACCCTTGAACAGGTGGAGTCCTCATTCATGTACACACACACACACACACACACACACACACACACACACACACAGAGAGAGAGAGAGAGAGAGAAAGAGAAAGAGAAAGAGAGAAAGAGAGAAAGAGAGAGAGAGAGAGAGAGAGAGATGACCCCTGGTCTCTAGGAAGTTGTAAACGTAAGTGAGATTAGGGATACAAAGGAAGCCGGTACAGCACCTTAATGAGTGGCCCTTAATGAATGTCAGCTGAACAAAGTTGGCATTGACGAGGTGATACAGGACTACATAAATGATCAACTACTGCCGGTTGGAAGAACAACCTTTGGAGGAGGCAGGCAAAGCATGAGGGTTCCTCTCCTGCTGGGACTTTATCTTCTTGAGACTCATAGGCTGCAATTCTAACTCCCAGTGTGTCTGGATGTGATCGTATGTGGATGCTCGGCCTTTTCAGAGGTGAAGCCAAACACTTGTGTCCGTGGGCCCTCATCCAAGCTAACTCGGGGACTGAGACAGATATGCAGAGGGCTGGAGGGTCAGCTCAGTCAGTGACATGCTGGCTGTGCAAACGTGAGCATTTAGCTTTGTTCCCAGAAGTCATGTAAAAAGACAGATGTGATGATGTGTGCTGGCTAGTTTTATGTCAACTTGACACAAGCTGGAATCACTTGGGAAAGGGACTCTCAACTGGGAAAACACCTCCGTAAGACTGGCCTAGAAGCAAGCCTGTAGTGCATTTTTTTCTTTCTTTTTAAAAAATTTATGTGTTAGTGTATGAGTGTATGTATTTTATGTATATAGGTGCTCTGTCTGCATGTACATTTGCACACCAGAAGAGGGCATCAGATACCATCATAGACTGTTGTGAGCTGCCACGTGGATGCTGGGAATTGAACTCGGGACCTCTGGAAGAACAGCCAGCGCTCCTAACTGCTGAGCCATCTCTCCAGACCCTGTAGTGCATTTTCTTAATTGGTAATTGGCATGGGAGGGTTCAGCCCGTCATGGGTGGTACCATCCTCGTGCTGGTGGGCCTGGGTTCTATAAGAAGGCCAGAGGGATAGCCATGCAAAGGCGAAGGAAGAAGATGGCCATCTCCAGGCTGGGGAGAGAGGCTCAGAAGTCATTAGCCCTGCCTGAGGGAGTCACCTTGATTCCTGACACCTAGACACCTTTCTCAGCCTCCAAGCCCAAGGGAAAACAAAGCCTTATAGTCTGAGTCGTTTGTATGGCAACCTGGGAAGTCCAGCTGTGTCTCCACTGTAGTGGGCTCCTGAGCTACACAGCATTTAGAAGGTTGGCATGAAATGGGGGCAAGTCCTGCTCTTCCCACTGGCCAGGCCTAATTTTTCAGTGGGACTCTGGAGAGCAGCTACACTGTAAGAGGTCTGTGTTCAACAGAAGATCAAAAGGAAGGGGCCAAGATGGTGGCTCGGTCTTGCCAGCATTTTGGGCAGTCACATTAGTGGCCGCTGTCCCAGGAGCCCATGGAGACACTGGGCAGTGACTGGTGAAGGTGCTGTGGAGGTGATCCCAACCTCAGGACCAGTCACTGGCCTCTACAGTTGTCTTTCCAACCCCTAGTGTCTGAGACACCAAAGCCTAAGCCTCAAAAGCCCTGTCTGGGTCTCTGCCATCACTGGCCCCGTTTCCTGGCTGCCGGCTCCATTCCTCCTCCTGCCCATTATTTCCTTTGCATGTGAGCGTCTGTGTATACATGAACATGTGTGAATGTACCCATTCCATTCAGCCTCTACATCAGACTGGGAATTCCCCAGGGGCCAGTTGCCACACTTCCTGCCCTCTGCCTGTCCCCAGTGTCTGTCCACTGTCATCAAGCTACCTGCAGTCATTCTCTTTCCTCTGCGAGCAAAAACCTAGAAAAAGTGGGAAAATCGCTCCCAGGTTCTTTGTATGGGCTCTCCACACTGGACTCATTATGGCCAGGCAAGGGAAGGGGCCGGTGGCATTCTTGGGGGCTGGTGGCCTGGAGGGCCAGATGGGCCTGAGCTCCCAGAAGCTTCTCTGTACTCAGTGTCCCAGCAGAGTGGTGGCAGTGAGCAATCATTCCATCAGTCTCAGAGTGGGAAAACGGATGGCTGAAGCCCCACGGGGGCCAATGGCAAGTCAGGCAGGGGGAGACAAGGACAGGTGACCCTTCCCTGCAGCAGCCTTTCCTTAGCCCCAGCTCTCCTTGGAGGAGCCTCAGGCCTGAGCTGAGCTTCCTTTTGTGACTCTGCATGCACCAGGGTATTAATAATTCATGCAAATCTGCAAGTTCAATGCTATGTCAAAAATAGAAATTCGATTGTCTATCATAAAATTTAAAACAAAGTCCTCAGCACCAAAGCTTTCTATAGACAGGGTTTCTCGTCACCTGGAAAAGGTGTGTGAGAAAAAGAGTCACCACTATGTGTTGGCTTTCTCCTTCTCCTGTCCCTGAAGCCCAGCAGCACACAGCAGCATTCAGAAGAGGCCTCTCCAGCTTCAGGGCTCCCTCCCTGGCTGGCTGATGGGCTTCCTTGAGCCCTGCCTGTGGGCACTGGACACCTGGAAGCTGTCTGGTGATAGAGGCCTTCCCAAGAAGCAGGTTCGGGTGGGAGAAGGGGACAGGTGAAAGGGGTGACGTCATCCCCGCTGTCCTTTCAGAAGAGTAGGGAGAGGGGAGGAGAGGAGGAGGACAGAGGGGGGGGGGAAATGATAGAGAGGAAAGAGACACACAGAAAGACAGAGAGTGGGGGAGAGAGAGGGAGGGGGAGGGAGAGAGAGAACCTAGGTTGGTGGTTCTGGAGTTGAGACCCAGGCTCTAACTCCACCTCACTCCTAACCAACACTGTGGCCTAAGGCAGGTCACTAGCCTTCCCTGCTCTCTCTCTTATCCAAGAAAGGACCTTTATGGTCAGACCACGGTGTTCAAGACTCTTCAAGCTGTGACTGGTGCTCTTTTTATGACCTGTTTCCTAGAACGTCCATACTGAGTAAACTCAGATGGAATGGTGGGGTCCTGATCCCAGTGATGAGGCTCTCTTCCCCACCCACCGTAAGGCACTAAAGGGCTCTGTGGAACACAGCAGGACGTCCTTCACTCTTGATCAATGATCTCCAAGTGCAGCTGTGTCTGCACACGGCCTTCCTCAGAGTCACCTGGGAGCTCATTAAAGATGGGTTCCCAGAGGCTCAAGTGTGACCCCTGTCCTTCGCTGACTCTAGTATGTAGCCATATTTGGCCACACTGGATTCCTAAGGTCCCTCCCTGTCTAGAAGCATCCTTGGACCTGCAGATGTCCTTCCTGGCTGCCCTTGAGAGCCTGGTGTCCAAAGCCTCCTGATATATCTTGCTCTACTCAGCAGGACTGTCCTCAGGCCCTGGGGAGGCAACTGAGCCTCTCCCGAAGTGGGGCCTGTTACAGAGGATACAGTGTGGAAGGGCAGCCTCTGAGGCTGGCAGCCTTTCAGGGGCTTGGGACCATAGGGAGGTGCTGACGGGGAGCCTGGCAGCTGATAGGAAGCTGTGGCTAGCCTGTGACATCCAGGGCTATAAATCAAGCAGGTATAAAAGGCTTTGGCATTTGCCAAGCACCTTCGATATGCAGTCACGCCTGAGGATTTTACCTACCATGACAGCCAACCCAAGCAAGGCTCACTGAAGGGAAATCACGTGTATACATGGGAAATCTGTGACTGGAGGCAGGGAGGTTTGTCAGAGGCAGCATCGGACACGTCATCTGAACATAGGCCTCCACGGGTGACACTCCATCTCTGCCTGCTTCCCGTAGTGAGGGCTCCCAGACTGGAGGCCTGCACTGGTAGAGGCTGCATCAGAAGTACCCGAAACACTTGGGAATATAACAGATTCTGGGGGCCACAGAGTCAGCATGAATATGTGAGCTAGAGTAAGGTTTCACAAAGCCAGATGAACCACACATACCCTGCTGTGGCTCTTTCCCAACTCCTCTGTCACAGCTGAAGCTCCATTGGGTACCCAGACCCAATTCAGAGTCGATTTTTTTTTTTAATTAAAACATTTTTCTCAGACAGGGTCTCATGCAGCCCAGGCTGGCCTTGAACTTGTTATGTAGCTGAAGATGACCTCGAGCTTCCGATCCTCCTGCCTCTCCCTTCCAAGTGCAGGAATTAAAGGTCTGTGCTACCAGGCCCAGTTTTATGTGGTAGGGATTGAACCCAGGGATCATGCATCTTAGGCAAGCATTCTACCAACTGAGCTACATGCCTAGCCCTAGCCAGAGCCCATCATATGAGGAAAATCCAACTCTTTTGCCTGTGAGAGACCACTGAGTCAGAGAGGCTAAGTAACTTGCCTTAGGCCACACAGACCCTAGACCAGGGACCCTTCACTGCTAGTGAGTGTCTCATGATGGCTCATGACTACAGACAGGGATAAAGAGAGGAATTTAGCCTTTCATGGTCTTGTGATGGATGCCAAGACCTCTTCTGGTGCCCACCTGCATCTTGAGGGTTCCACCTACCGTCCAGCCTGGAGGGCAGGCACACTCGCCAGTGATGTGGTGGCAGGTGCCCCCATTTTGGCAGGGGCAGCGTAGTTCACAGTGAGCTCCATGGCTCCCAGGGGGGCACAGCTCCTCGCAGCTGCACGGAGAGGAAGAGTCTCAGCAGAATTCCCAAGAGCGCCCCAGTGCTCAAACCCAACGTCCCAGGGCTCCCTAGTGAGCCTTGTCTACAAGAACGGTTAATCTCAACCCTGACCCCCCACCTGGCACCTGACTCCTCCCCCACCACAGGTGGTGGATGGTGTCAGCAATCAGCCGGCTGCAGAATCAAAGGCCTGAAACCCTGCACCTGAAGAGTGGGTGTTCTGATCCCCGCCAGTAGAGGGAGACAGGTCTCAGCTATAATATATTGAACTGTAGTGTACTGCTGGGGCCAACACTTGAAAGTTCTGGGGAGGAGGCTGAAGAGACCTTCCCTAAGAAGGCGCTTTACTTGGGCCTTGAAGATGAGGCTATTTTCACTGAGAGAGTGGAAGGGCATGCCAGATGGATGAGAGAGCAAGGGCAAAGGGGCTAAGAAGTGGCCTTGGATTTCGCCTTCAAAAACCTGCTGCCAACCCCCTCCAACCCCCCCACCCCTTTAAAGATTTCTTTCTTTATGTAGTCTATGTGTAGGAGTGCTCTCTTTGCATGTATGCCTGTATGCCAGAAGAGGGCACCAGATCCCATTATAGATGGTTGTGAGCTGCCATGTAGTTGCTGGGAATCGAACTCAGGACTTCTGGAAGAGCAGCTAGCACTCTTAACCGCTGAGTCATTTCTTCAGCCCCTCAAAACCTGCCTATTTTCAAAGCGGGGAGCCAGAAATTCTGAGACATGTCCTTTCCAGGCTCTGAAAAGCTCCCAGCTGCCACAGGTGGGGGGGGGGGCAGCCACTGTGGGAGTATGGGGAAGGTCTGCATCATTGCCTTGGGTCTCATTCCGATGGCCATGGCTTCAAACTCAAAGGCCCTGGGAGCCCAGACACATTGGGGCAGGAAATGCTCTCAATCCAGGATGTCTTATGGTCAGCATCCTTGGCCGACTCTAGAGCCTTCAGCAGGGCTGGACAACACCAGTCTTGTCTGTGAGAGTGCCGACTAAGTTGTCTTGGGGATGGCCTGTCAGTGTGGCTTCCCCAGGGCACAGAAGTGAGGGGACCAATCAGCATATGATACGTCAGTTGGGCTCTTACCAGCCGGTTGCCTCAGATGTATCAATTAGGATGGGGCAAACAGAGGCATACTGCAGAGGTCAAAAGAGAAGGACAAGCTCACTTCTGCGTCCCCTAACTAGGACCAGCCCTCCGACATGTGACTTGTCTCTAGTAGGGACTCATGGCATGGATGTCAGACTTGCGTAGGTGAGGCCTGGATACTTAGACACTGTTGCACTTGGGGTCAGATGGCAGATGTCACACCAGGGCCTTCTGTTCTCATCTTCCTGCCCACTAGGGTGCTAAGAAGTTGCCAAAGAGCTTGAAAGACCTGGTGAGGGCTCCTAGGCCCCAGCTCGGTTCGGCTCCAAGGCAGGGTCATCCAGGCCACGCCTTCCTCTCCCAGCCCCGCTCCATCTCTTCTGGCTCCTCCCCATCCCTTCTTTCCCCGCCCCTGCAGTCCTGACCTGACCTCTCCCTGGCCCCACCCCCAGGCCACGCCCTCCCTACTCACTACACGCCGGTGTAGCCCGGTGCGCAGAGGCACTCTCCAGTGCGCGGGTCGCAGCTGGCGCCGTGGTGGCACTGGCAAGGCAGCTGGCAGCCCTTGCCGTGGGTTCCGGGCGTGCAGAGTTCTTCGCAGCGCCAGCCTCGGAAGCCCGGGGCGCACACGCAGGCGCCGGTGATAGGGTTGCAGAGGGCGCCGTTCTGACACTGACACCGGTTGCTGCAGTGAGGACCCCAGTGCTCGCTGTCACAGCCTGCAAGAGAGGACACGCAGGGTCAGGGCTTCCTTAGAACCAAGGTCCACACGGCCTTACCATCTCCATGGTCCCTAGAGAAGAGGCTGCAGAGGGGAGTCTGGAAGGAATCCTTGGCATCTGGAGACGCCCATCAGGCTCCACCAAGCCGCCAAGTGTTCACGGGAGCTGACGATGGCACAGCCTCCAAGGCCTCCCAGCCCCGCAGCTCACTTTCAGTCGATGCCACTGCCCTGTCCCCGGTGCAAACGTGGTCACAGCTTTCTGCCTCCCTGTCTCTGGGAAGCCCTCCTTGGTTGGTCTGTCTCTAGTCCTCCCAGCTGGACCTTTCCTCAGGGCTCCTGCCACCACCTCTGTGACGCCGTTCCTCTCAGTGCCAGCGTGGCCCAGTAGCACAGCTGTCTGTGCAGCCATCTTTTCGCTTTCCCCACTCAGTCTTATCTCTCACTCATTTACTCAGGCACGGTCCCTCTGACTCCCGGTACCCACCCCTGGCTCCACCTCTCTGCTCTCCCTTCCTTCTTCCTCCCTTCAGCCCCCTAGATGCTTCTTCAGGTCCATTTCCTCACTGCCCAAGCTCCTTCAGAAAGAGCAGGGGAAAAAATGTATCCCTGGGAGGTAACAGACAGCCTTGGAGATCTTTCCCTGTAATTAAATGTTTTCAAGACGGATGGCTCTCCGGAAACCCGCATTCTAAGCCATGGAAAGGGATAGAGTGGCCCAGAACTGCAGGAAGGTTACCCAACCTGTTGTCACCTCCTACTTTGACCCTCTTTCTTGGTGCATTCAGGACGCAGCAAAAATAAGATGTCTCCCAAACACTGGGATTTTTTTTTTTTTTTTAAGCAGGAGTGGAGTTTAGATACCGACAGGCACACATACTGCTTGAGAATATCGAAGGCAAGAAAGATTGCTTCCAGTTAAGACAGTCAGGTGAGGGTTCCTCATTGCAAGTGGGCAGTGAAAGATAGCTCACTTGTCTGCCTGCCAGAGGGCCATCTGTCTTGGTTTCAGCACCAAAAGACCCCTGTTTCTAAGAGCACCTCAGCCCTGGGCAAGCTGGAACAGAGAGTGCCTCTGCTGCCTGTGGACGCAGATGGCCAGCTGACCTTTGCATCCCAGCTTTCTAGGATTTTGATACTCAGAGGAAAGGGGGGAAGTGAGTGGCATAGGAAAGGTGTCCTTGGGGTAGGCCACTGTGAGCAGAGACACAGTGGCACTCTGGTGATGAGCAGGCACAAGAAGACAGGGTTTGGTGTAGCCTGTGAATATGCTGGGGTCCACCAGCATCACCAGTTTTACCCAAGTCTCTCCCGATAGCTGATTGGGTCAGTATCTGGAAGCCTGCATCCATCCTGCAGTAGACAGGACCACGGAGTCTCTGATCCCCACCACTGCAGGGCTTTTACCCACCAACCCCACCGTTCCCCAGAGTTTTCTTGAGTTTGAGCAGCAGGAAATATTAGATAGAAGGATTTATTGCAGAGATAAACAGAAAATAAAGGATAGCCTCAAGAGGGCCTGGAACCTTTTCCAATGAGCCCCGACTGTCTTTGCCTCAGGGTATTTATAGAGACGCCAAAGGGTGGAGCAAAAGACCTCCCCCCCCCCCCCCCGTCCCCACCCCACCCCCGCTCCAGCACAGCCAAGTGCAGACCATCTCAGACACCTGCACTCAAGCCCGTGGTCCTAATCATCCTCTATACGGACCTGCTGAGTAAAGCCACGAGGAACCTGAAAACGGGCTCCCACACACCACCTCATCTTGGCTCACTCCATCTGTGCCCTGCATAGGGATAAGTACAGACTGGGGCTGCCAAACTATCAGTGGGCACCACCTTCTGCTTCCCAGTCCCCTCAGAGTGACAGCCTCCACTCACACTGACAGTGGGTCACAGGACAGAGGCAGCAGTGGAGCGTCCCCAGCCCACAATTTCCAGGAAACCTTTGCAGGGCGTGGAAGGACGGACAAACTGTGTGTGTGTGTGTGTGTGTGTGTGTGTGTGTGTGTGTGTGTGTGTGTGTGTGCGTGCGTGTGCGCGCTCCTATCTCTCCTTCCCATTTTTGAATATGTATGTAGTGTGTGGGCACGTCTGCATGTGTGCATGCTGTGCATGTATATACTCAAGGAGGGCCAAGGTTATGACAGGAGCCTTTCTCCATCACTCTCCCCCTTATTCAATGAGGGAGGGTCTATCGGTCAAACCCAGAGCCTGAGGATATGGCTAGTCTCACCGGCCAGCTTGTTCAGGGATTCCCCGTCTCTACCTTCCGAAGCTGGAAGTACAAGCCGCCTCCACACCCACCAGACATTTACATTTACATAAGTTCTGAGGATTTAGACAAGTGCTTAACAGTGAACCGTTCCCCACTTCCCCCTCTGTCTTTATTGCCAAGCACATGTAGTTAGCATTCAGTGTGTATGTGCTATGATTCCATTATAATGATAGTCATATTTAACTTTCCCCATGTGCCAGGCCCCATCCTGGAAGTCTTAGAGGCATGAACAGTATTTAATCCTCACAGGCTTCACTTTCTTCCCTACTTTATAGACAGGAAGACAGAGGGTCATGGAAGTTACATGACTGTTCAGGTTCTAACAGGGCAGCCGAGGTCCCCTGATTTCAGGTCATTGCTCAGGTACATGGGACACTTGCTGGGGAGTAGTCCGAGATGGGAAGCTTGGAGGCGATTCTGAGAACAGTAGCTGCAAAGCACAGGTGACTGACAGCACAGAGGCTGGCTGCTTCCTCTCCGCCCGCCACTGTGAGCAGCTTCAGGATCTAGACAAGCCATTCCCCCAGTACCTTTCGGGCCACAGTCGCTGGACATGAAACTCTGTCAGTCCAAAGCTAGTAGAATCCCTTCATGTTCCGCTGAGCATCCCGGGACATTTGCTTTTCAGGTACTTATCCATACCTTCATGATTTTTTTCTTTTCTATTTTGAGAAAGGATGTCACTATGCAGCTCAAGTCAGCCTCCAACTCAAACTCTTCCCTCAGCCCCCAGAGTGCTAGGATTGTGGGCGTGAGCTGGCATGCTTGGCGGTGGCCTCCATTCTTTCTAGAATAGCCCAAACCCAGTAGGTGACAAAACTGTGCCCTGGACAGGGAGGCAGAATGTGGTCACAGGGTCTTGTAGCTGTCCTTAGCCTCTTCCACCCCTCACTTGTCAACTCAACATCTCCCAAGTACCTAGGAGTACTGTGTTGTGGAATGCTCTGCTCCAGGCATAACAGACATTACTATCCTCATCAAGCAGCTGTGACCACTTGCAAGGGGCCATCAAGATCAGGGGGCCTGATGATGCCCCCTCACAGAGGAGGGGGTGGCTTCCAGTTTCTCCTTCCTATACCTCCCCCTGAGCTGCATGTACTTCTGCCCCAGATGCTTGGGGTCTTGAGGAGTGCTGGAGTGTATAGGGGGTGGGAGGTTAACTGAAGGGGAGACTCCATCTATGCAGCGATGAGGAAGCTGTCATCCATCCAAGCTAGAGTGAGACTTTTCAGTGATGTGGTGGCTTTGACCCCCTGACTCCTGTTAGTGACCCCCCCACTCATGTTCTGGAAGTAAGCCCATTAAACTCCTAGTTTTGTCAAATTGGACTTTGGTGAAATGGTTACGTTGGTCCACTTGTGGAATGTGTTCCTTTGATACCCTATCTTGGGGAAGTAGACATTTGTTCATGTTTGGCCAGGAAACTTCATACAACATGCTAGGAGGTAAGCTGCCCTCTCTCGAGATAGATGGTTCATCAGGGGGTGGGTTGGAGGCAGAATTCAGCACTTGGGGACGGTGCTAGAATAAAGGTGGCTTAGGACATTGTTGAAGTCATGAGAACACAACTCTGGCTCCTCCCACTAAAAAGGACGTGTATATGCACATGCCTGTATTTGTGTCTCAGTGTTTACGAAGCCCCTACCACAAGGCAAGGCTAGGGAGATGGCTCAGTGGTTAAGAGAACTTGCCGTGAAAGCAAGAGAACCCCAGTTCAAATCCCCAGCACCCACATAATAGGCGAGCAAGCAGTCCCGCTTTTGTGGGGCAGAGACGGACGGATCCCAAGAGCTTACTGGCCATCAGCTTGGCTTCAGATTCAGCGAGAAACTGTCTCAAGACTAAGGTGGAGCCTAGTGGGATGGCTCATGATGAAGAGCAGAGGGCCAGTTCCCACCTGTGCCTTGTTTAGAGTTTGGTTTATGTATAAATAGTGGTCCCAGGTTTTCCACAGATGACCCTATTTCCTATCATTCTATTCTCTTCAGTGAATGCATTGACTTATTAATATTCTTCTGTTGTGTTATGTGGCATAAAATTCCATGTTAATCCCTTATGTACACAACCTGATAGCATCCATCACGTGTGCTAACATTAACACTACTAGCATGTTCAACTGCCTCCAGAGACACTCTGTAACCAACCAATTGCAGTGACTTCCCACCCTGGCCTTTAGTAAGCTTTAATCTTTCTTCCTGCTTCTACCATCTCCAGCCATTCATATGAGGGGAATTATAAGCAGCAGACTTCTGTGTCTGACTTATTTCACTTAGCATCATGTTTTCAAGGTCCATCCACACTGGCTTCATTCTTTTAGTGGCTGAGTAGTGTTCCGCTGCCTGTGTACACCACATCTTGTTTTTCCATTCACGGAAATGCTCCCACTTTTTGGCTATTGTAAGTAATGTGGAATTACTATTGACATACAATTATTATTTTTTTAATGTCTTTTTTTTCCTTTTGAGATAGGGTTTCTCTATGCAGCTCTGGCTATCCTGGAACTTGCTCTGTAGACCAGGCTGGCCTTGATTTCAGAGCTCCACCTATCTCTGCCTCCCAAGTGCTGGGATTAAAGATGTGGGCCACCATTCCCATTCCTGTCTTGTCTGGATTTGCTTTTATGTTGTGTTGGAGCACACGGGGCAAGTGCCCTACCACTGCTCTATCCCCCACCCACAAGTAACCTTTTGAGTCCTTGAGGCTCATTTATTAAAGGTCCAACT